AAACCTATAAAGTGTCATAACTAAGCCATAAATAAAGATATTAAAATGAAATTTGGCACAAAGGATCGCATTAGGGAGGGAAATATTTGGACGTAATTTTTTTGGAGAAGTGGGCGTGGCCCCGCCCCCTACTAACTTTTTTGTACATATCTCGAAAACTACTATAGCTATGTCAACCAAACTGTATAGAGTCATTTCTTTTAGGCATCTCCATATTCAGTTCAAAAATGGTTCGGTTAATAACCACGCCCACCTCCCATACAAAGGTTATGTTGAAAATCACTAAAAGTGCGTTAACCGACTAACAAAAAAAGGTCAAAAACACTAAATTTTACGGAAGAAATGTCAGAAGGAAGCTGCATCCAGGTTTTTTTTTTAAATTGAAAATGGGCGTGGCCTCGCCCACTTATGGACCAAAAACCATATCTCAGGAAGTACTCAACCGATTTCAATGAAATTCGGTATATAATATTATCTTAACACCCCGATGACATGTACCAAATGTTAATGAAATCGGTTCACAACCACGCCTGAAATCTCGATTATCACTTTATCATGCGAGAGTATAACATGTTCGGTGACACCCGAACTTAGCCCTTCCTTACTTGTTGAAATTATAATTATGCGTATGTGTGTAGAACATATCTGCATTTAAACAAAAAAGTGCACACATACATACACACATATAACAACAAAACCTTTGTTAAACAAAGAATACAAATTGTACGCGCGACGACTCACCAACACTCTGACCTCATTTATTACAGAAAATCACATACAAATGATGGGAAAAAATCTCGGTAAAACAATAGGTCGTAACATCGCGACACCTTATCAGCGAATGYCATACAAAATCAAACAAAACATTGCTTACCTCTAATTTACCTTCTAATGCGCACAATTCGGTTGTCGCATAATTGAAAGGGAATTCATAGCGATGGGTTCACTTAAAAAATATGCAATTTGATTTTCACAATAAAAGTAATTAAGCGCACAATATATACAATGGTGCTATAGGTATGGAGTCTAAACAATCTATTATTACAATTAACGTAAATTAATTAACTTCAATTCTCATATGTCTTCATTAAAGTCATTATTCTCTCGATATGCGCCTTCATTACCGCGAAAACAAAACTACAGACATATTTTTTCGAACTTCCTGAAAGACCATCTTTTGGAACGTTAGCAGTACACTTGACCTGCTTTGAAATGTACTTTCATTCAATGGGACCTATAAAACGCACTTTTACCGAATGTTTAGAATCAATACGGATATGGTTGGAATTTAACTTTCTGTGCCAGACAGTTATTGCTTAAAAAAAAAATAATAATAATAATAATTCTTCTTCGTTTTTGCCGTAGATACTAGAGTTTGGTCTTTGTTCGTCGAGAGAGGACTTTAGTTCTCCATTGCCTACTTAAACTGAAGTTGCACCTATTGGCAAGAGTTATTATGCGTTGGATTTCGAGGCTGACGTTGTGGTCAGCATTAATGCTGGTTCGAAGATAAACGAAATTATCTATGACTTCGAAGTTATGACTATCAGTAGTAACTTAGGACCAAGGAAAAGAAGAAGTCGCACGGTAGGGATTCGCCATGTCGGAAACCTCGTTTGGTATCGAACGGCTCAGATAGGTACTTGCCGATCCTGACGGAGCTTTCAAATTTAAAATTCGGACAAAGGCAGCTAATTGTCATGCTGTCAAAAGCAGCTTTGAAATCGACGAAGAGATGGTGTCGATTCTCTTTTCGTCGGTATTTTCCAAGATTTGGCGCATAGTGAATATCTGGTCTGTTGTCGATTTTCCAGGTCTAAACTCACACTGATAAGGTCCAATCAGTTTGTTGACGGTGGGCTTTAATCTTTCACACAATACGCTCGATAGAACCTTATACGTGATGTTAAGGAGGCTTATCCCACGGTAATTGGCGCAGATTGTGTGGTCCCCTTTTAGTGGATTGAGCAGATCACATTTAAGTTCCTATCTTCTGGCATGCTTTCGTCCGACCAAATTCTACAAAAAAGCTGATGCATGCTCAGTTCTTCGCCGCCTTGTTGGAATAGCGGTTCTTCAGACAGGTAATTGCTATTCGAACTTCTTCATGGTCGTGCAAAGGAACTTCCACTTCATCGTAATTGATTGGATAATCGGGATTACCATCTCCAGGTGTTTTGCCATTCAGCAGCCTAAAGAAGTGTTCCCTCCATAATAACTAAGCCTCACAATTTACATCAATTGTACGGAACGTCCCATCTACGTTGTCGCTCTGGCACTCTATTACGTCATATGTACGGCTTTAAACTCCGCCGGATATAGTTCACATGTAAACTAATACTTTAGATTTTGCTTGATTCCTAGCAACAGTGTACCAAGTTGAAATGTGGAGTACTGAAAAAGGTGTGAGATTAAACAATGTTTTTCATAAAATAGAGAGTTTGATTGAATACTTCTAGGGTTTTGTTACCAATTATATAAATCTTTTTAATCATCGTAGACGAATATGGCACCTTAAATTCCAAGGTTAAATGACTATTATTATTGCTGAATTCGGCATTTAGTTGGTAACAACGCAGCGCCATACAATCTGCTTGGTCAACTTCACTTCACGATCTTCACGGAATGCCTTGTACCACTCAAGTACTTGAGCGCGTGATAGACTAGACKCCCCAAAACACTTCCGCCACATTTTCAACAATGCGACAGTCGCAATTCCATTGGAAATACAAAATTAGAATATAAAATTACCAGACAATTTTTTCGCCTCGTAAAGAAATAGCTGCCAAACAATCGCTACCATGTGCTACAATATGGATATCAAACTGATCCCAACTGAACCAAGTCCTGGTCAAATTTGATCGGGTGGGGTTTTCAGTTTGAAACTCTATAAAATATAGAATTTMGGTATACTTCTTCTTTGATCCACAAAACTTTCAGCTCCCGTGTACATTTTATAAAGGGTGATCCATTTCGAGGTTTAATGCATTTTTAAGGAAAAAATAAATAAACTTCAAATTTAATTGGGAATTTTTATTATAATTTGAAAGAACATTCTTTGGTATTTATTTTTTGAAGATTATCTCTTT